AAATGCTAATTCGATGATGCCGGCTGGCACACTGATTCACTATGAATGTAGGCCGCACCCCCTAGCGGCAGAAGCTCGTACTACATCCGGTTCGCCCTCTATTGACACAGTCTTGAAACTTTCCGATCGCACCTCGTATTAATGAATAAGAAATTATAAGGAAATGAAATTAAGTGATCTTGCCCTAAGTTGAGGTAGTATCCCGACATTGCCGGGATGGACTAAGTAAAACCACGCAGACCTTTAGTCAGTATAGGATGCTTCCGGACCAAGATTTGAATCCTGGACTTCCGAATATGGGTTGTAAACCTGTTGGAGTGAATAATAATAAGAAAGCATTTATTCTTCCCTGAATTTAATCACTTCCAGTCATTCTTGCTAATACAGACTAACGTCAGAGCTACTGTTTCCGTTGTGATGACGCGAATCGACATCCCAAATGACTTAGATAAAAAGATAAAGCAAAGCTATTCCTGTACGCATCAAGTAGGCGCTCAGGGGAAAGATGGTATACCCTAGTGTCCAAATGTGTGTTCAGTGATTAAGATTCGCGTACAGACTACGTGTTCGATGCTGATTTGGTTAAATGGAACTTTGAAGGGTGTTAAAATAAATGCTAACCCGCCATGTGGAATACGAGGTGCTACCCAAAAGTTCGGGGAATTTGAATTCCACGAGCGAACCGGTTGTGGAATGGCCTGCCGCCGCTAGATAGGGCAAGCGTTCTTGAGTTTCGTGCGTTTTTGTAACGTTGTGTTGTAGTGGTTCGGCGATTTTTTTAAACCTGCATAAATGGCAGATTTTAAGGAGCAAATAATCTGCATAAAATTTTGCTTTAAGCTTAAAAAAACTGCTGTAGAAACCAACCGCATGCATTTGGTGAAAATGCTGTGGATCAAAGTAAAGAGACCTGCACGATTTGAACACGAGACGCATTGCTACAAAATTTGTGCCGAGATTGCTGAACAACGACCAAAAAGAACATCGCGTTGCTGTCTGCACTGAACTCAAAGATGAAGCCAGAGATGACCCCAACTTCATTTCCAAGGTCATAACCGGTGATGAGTCATGGGTTTACGGTTATGACCCTGAGACTAAGCAGCAGTCGTCGCAGTGGAAGTCGCCAAATTCACCGAGGCCAAAAAAGGCACGTTAAGTTCTCAGCAATGTGAAGTCCATGTTGATCGTTTTTTTAACATCCAAGGCATTGTCCACAAGGAATTTGTCCTCCCCCCTGGTCAAACTGTCAACGGGAAGTTTTGAAGCTGCTACGGGAGAGCATTAGGCGGAAACGTCCGGAAAAGTGGGAGAACAACAGCTGGGTTCTCCCCCACGACAACGCGCCCGCCCACACATCGTTCGTTGTTCGGCAGTTTTTGGTTTCCAAAAACACGACAGTGATTCCCCACCCACCCTATTCGCCTGACCTCGCCCCCTGCGACTTTTTCCTGTTCCCCAAAATGAAATTTCGATTGAAAGGCCGTCGTTTTGACACAACTGAGGAGATTCAGGCAGAATCCCAGGAGGTGCTTAAAACACTCACACTTGAAGACTCCCAGGGATGCAGGGAATAATGGAAAAGAAGCTGGGATCGCTGTATCCATGCCCAAGGAGACTACTTCGAAGGAGACGGTGGAAACTAGGAGTTATGATAAGCAATTTTTTATGGGCAAATTCACTGAACTTTTGGGTAGCACCTCGTACGAGTATAGTTGCTTATTCGTTACATAACGACTGTACGTATGCGCAGGCCTATATATATTCACTTACAAATAAGTTCTTACTTTACAGACACTAAATATATATAAAAAAAAATTACGTCTCTGTTTGTCCTGCGTGATAATGAAGCATACAATTCAAGTAGGCCTATTTGAATGAGGCGTGCAAATAAACTATTTGGACAAAGAATGATTATGTAGTCACATCTAACAAGCTGAAGATGTTACGTAACAATGAACAATTATTTGCACGACATAAGTAATAATGCTAAAATTCTTAAATATAATATATTATCACTGAACAAATATAACAACGTATTTTAAACTTTAATATTTAAGTAATTTAGGCTCATTTCTTTAGTTAGAAACTTCGTTATTCATTACTTAATTTGTGAGGGTTTTTAAGTTAAGGACTTACTTGATTAGATGATTTAGTTACAAAGCCTAAGTAGATAAAATCAGTTTAATTATTTAACACGCAAATTTTGTTCTTAGGTGGATAATTATTTAATTAGCTTGATATAAGTGGACTGGCAGTTACTTAACTAATTTATGTACTTTAATAGCTTACTTCAGTCAGTCAAGGAACATTCTTGTCAAGTTTTATCCTAGGAAGTAGACGGAAATAATTCAGGATCGCGTGTAATGACGAATACAAAGATACCATCAGACGTGAAATTAGCAAAATAAGCAGATCTTGTCGCATTCAGACCTTGCATAATTCGAATGCCAGTGATTGAATAATCGCGTTGGGTGGCATTGTTTACTATCTGCTAGATAAAATTACATGTCACGCCTAAAATAAATGTCCATACATATTTGGCACAACGCCTTTGATAGAAGTTACCAATATATGGTTCGTGAGCCACTGTATTTTGTAGTTTCTTTAGGTAATGACTGTGGGTTGATACAAAATGCAGAACAGCAAGAATATTCTCGGTAAAAGTGAGATAAATATGCAGGTAAGAACTCAGTGTTTCAAAACAAGTATTATCAGTCAGTAACCCCGCAAGTAAACATTATCCCTCGCAATGACCAAAGCGCATTTCTTTTCTCATAAAGATTTTGCGGAAAGCAATCAAAAGAACGCTATGCATTTGGTGCAGAGTGGGGTTGACCGACTATATTCGTGTAATTCTTGGCCGATTTCGGTAGTGTCAAGTGGTAAAGAACCGAATTTACAAGTATTGGTAATTATGTCTCAGAGCTGGGGGCGAGATGCTTCACGCAATACTAGCAATGCTTAAACTGGAATATGTGACGACACGAAAACTGTCTCATGCTGCTATTTTGATTGGCTGTCGTATAGCCCAGCGAAGGTCACTCTTCATGCGAAAAGAAACGAAGTGTAACAGACATTCGCTGATTAACGAAACTTTACTTGTTTCTTAATTTAAATAATTAAAAATTACTATACTTTCAATTACTTCCTTTGCGATGGGCAGATTCCCCATTAAAGGTCTTACCAGATGCCTAAATTAATCATTGTTTCAGAATGACTTCTGAACTGGAACACTCTAGAAGTGTAACTAACTCTGGTCACAGCTGAAGAAGAAGAAGAAGAAGAAGACATAGCATATTAAACAAATAAATCATAAACTCAATTAAACTGATGGCTCTTGAGAAATTGATAATCGCTGAGGTGGTCAACAAATTTAAAATATTTTGTAAAACCCAAAGGTTCATTAGCATGTTCTGATGATCCAAGCGCAGACCATATCCCGATGATAGCTGACTGCTATTTGGACACAGATCTTACTGACGCCCAGTTCAAGTGACCTACAACAACACGTCAAGATTCTGACTAAAATTCCGTGTACGTTTCTCACCTCATCGATGTGTGCTACATGTCTCGACCACATGATTTTCTCGATTTGATCACGGCAATAATATTTCGAAGGCCTTCAATATAGAATTTACGTCTTAATATATACGGTTACACAAATAAACACAAAATATACTCGAACATTCATGCAGTACGCATTTCCTCCTGTATTTTATAGTCATGTTCCATTCTTTATTGCCTGGGACATCCATTGCTTACTGTTTCTTATTAACGCGTATTGTTTCCTTATTGCACTACTGTTGCAACATGTAACACAGACTTCCAGACTGTATAACGTCTTATTTTCTATTGTTCTTCTTTCCGATGCCAACATCATTTTTATGCGAAATTAAATTGATTTAATTTTATAATGAATTTTTCTCAGGCTACCAGCTGTGTAAGGTGGTTTAATGAAGAAAACACCAACGTTACGAGAACCATTTCGTCTTCGTCCTCAGGGTACCCTGAGGACGAGGACGAAGAATTCATTATACTTAGTCGCCGTGAAAGTTTCAGATCATGGTTTTATTTTACTATCCCTCGTATTTATCTGTAAATTTTCCCTAAATAAAGTTACTGATAATTGAAGTTGATGAAATCTGTGAAATTACAGGACAGAAAACCATAAAGTGACCTGGACACTTTCCGGATGACCAGAGTTAGATTGCCGACAAAGCAGGATATTTCTTTTG